GCCTGTTTTTGGCTATGCTCTGTTCTTCTATTTGTTTTTTTAGATACCAGCATGTCGTACAGTATTAGGCACCACACGTCCAATGAGGACTGTCATGGTCTACGATAGGGCAATAGAGGGGCCTGGATCATTCTTTGGGTTTTATGGGTACGTGCCCAGGGGCCCAAGCCACTAGATGGTCCCCACATGTAATTATGATAAAATTTGACTTTCAGGGGGAATTTTACCAAAGATAATCTGACGTCACTGCCAGAACAGTTAAAAAATGAAGTAATTTCAAGTCCACAGCTGATCATAATCCTAGAACTGTTCACATCTTTCCTAAACGTTGGCCTCATTTTCTCCTCCAATCACTGCTTATCAACCGTTCCACTATCTGGCATTACCTCCGTCAAGCTTTCAGGTTTTTTACATCGAGCTAGCATTCCTGTGAATGTACTTTAAATTTGAATACAAAAGACGTGGCCTAGGGGATCTGTAAAGGTGAGACGTTAAACTTTGACAGATTAGAGGAGGCTCATTTTCAAACGCAAATAAAAAAATAAAAATACATATAATATGTGCTTATAGTTGTGAGTTGCCCAACACTGCTGTGAGTATGCTACTACTGTGCTGCTGAACAGCCCTGATGTCACCTGCTGAGATAAAAAAAAATCCCTGACCAGAAAAAAAGGTAGCCAGGTAGGGGCCCACCAAACTTTGTCCCCAAGGGCCTACAATTTAATGATCCAAGCCTGGTGACTGCTGATTTTTTTCTACAGATATTGAATATTTCTACCCATCTTTGTGAACCAAGCTAAATAAATATCTATAAATTTCTGGCCTTGCTAGATCGAGTTCTTTACATATCAAATAATCATGGTCATGTGTGATTGACTTTCCTTAGTCCAACTCTCCCAGCCTCCTACTCCACTGAAGCAGAACTAAAAACAAGTGAAACTACAGTAGTTCTATATTTGAAGAATTCATTTGCAAAAACAGATATTTCCATTTTAAAGAATTTTCATAAATCATGTTTTTTATTGTGCATTCCAGGTAATATCAATCAAACTGCAGTTGGGCTGTTTTGATGAAGTAAACATAACCAAACAAAATACTGGTAACTTACAAAATTAATGTATTGAAAAAAAAATTCTTTTGTTGTTTTTTGGCAAAAGCAGATAACGTCAATTGTCATTTCATGTTTCAGAGTTTAACAAAGCCATATCATGGATAAAAAGGCTCTTTTAAGTGTAACAACTACCATTTGATCCCTTTCTTTGCCACTATACACCATTTAACTGCTGCTGCACTCAGCACTTTAACTTTAGACTCATACTTTGCACAATGTAAAGGTTACAGGTATGACTGTGTATGTGTGTGTATGAGTGAGTGATGGTAGGAATGCATGTTTTATTTTATCTTTATTTTTCCTTTTTTTGTATTTTATCTTAGTGTATTTTATTTTATATTTATTTTATTTTATTCACTATTTGTAAATGTTTCATACTGTTCACTTTGAGCTCCTGTAACCAAAACCAATTTCCTTGCATGTGTAAGCATACCTGGCCAATAAAGCTTGATTCTGATTCTGAGTTTTTAACATAAAACATGTAGGTAAAGTGCTAAAATGGCAACAAAAACAGCCCATTAATGGACAATATTAAACATTTATAAGATCACACCTCTGAAAATCCTAAGGCTGGATCTCAAATGGCTCATTGCTCCCTGTACAGTACACTATGGGAGTTGAAATTTCAGCTTGCACAGTTTAGATGCAGTAGCCATTACTTTAAGACCTACGTGCTGCACTTTGTAGGGAGAAGGGAGACATTTGAGATTCCACCTGAAACAGTTCAAGGCAGTGTTGTGTCACCCGACCTGAATACTGCGCACTAATTGGCTGAACGGATTTATCGGGTTCTGCTCAAGAACAGCACTGGCGTTTTACTGTTTCTGCTGTAAAACATGAACTTACAATAGACGATAATGGCTTTCGTGACAAAACACATTTATGGTTGAGAATGCGCTGTGCATTAAGAATAACTCACAATCGTCAGCTCATTTTTTTAAAAGATGTTTATCGTTTTTTGCAAATGAACTCTTCATGTACAGGCGGTGTTGCAGACTACTCCGCTATATTAATGGCTCCATTAAAACAGTATCCATTTTTATATAGCAACAAGTTCTTTTTCACTTTACTGCTGGATAAGCACTGTTGGCGTAGCCGGTTGAGCAAACAAATGGTATCAACTAATAGGCGGACGAAGAAATGAAGGGACAGCTGAACAAACTAACAAAGAATCAAACTGTCGGGCAGATGGACAGATGGACGACGGGCAGACAGATGAGTTAGTTTGGTAGCTCAGTCATGCTTGCTAGGTCAGCTTTGGCTCGTCGTTAGCTTTCTCTCAGTTAGTTTCTCCAACTCGAACAGAGAGAAAGAGAATGTAGAGGAGGAGTTTTTATAAAGCTGTGTGGGTTGAACAAACCACATCCGCCTTGTGATTGGTGAGGGTGCAGCTTACATAAGCAATACCCAAGATTAGCACCACCTATTTTACATCAAAGAATGATCATTTTGGAAAAATACACCAGGCGTTTATAAGGCATTAGAAAGTTAGTCACCAGATATAATTTGTCCATGTATATTGTGTGCCCACAAGAACAAGACTAAACTACCTAGGAAGAAAACATGGATTTGAGCTCCCTGAGGCTTTTAATGGTAGAGTGAGCATCACACTGAACACGCTCTCTACACTGTCGGTCTGAGTCTTCAGAAACTGTACAGCAGGCCCAGCTTTCTGGTTAATATCACCTTAATTGGTAGATGCTTTTGGAAAGCCCAGCTGCTGTAAACCTTCAGCTGTAAGTACACGTGAGATCATCTGAAACGTCCACAGAAAACCCTTTAGTGAGATCAATAGCAATCACACAGACTATTCAGAAGTGACAGCAGCAGCAGAGATGATGCAGCGTATGCAACACAAGGTGACGTCAGAGCACCAGCAAAAACCTCCAAGAAAAAGGATACACAGTGACTCACAAATGCTAAAGTGCCATGAATCACATACTATTTACTAAATCCACCAAGCACATTCTGCTTGTCAAGGTGCCCCCCCCCCACACACCGCCAACCCACCCAGCCACCCACCCACTCACCCACCCCACACACATACTACATTCTTAAATCTTCAGTCTCACACAAACGGAACACGAGATAAAAGCGACATTCAGTCTTTCACACGCACATACACTGTTACGGCCAGAAAGACTAGGGGAGAAGTTGCTAGCACTTTAGTGAGTTGGCGCAGCAGCAGAGCTCTGATTGGATTACATAACAGGACAGGAATTCTCACTCTTCATATCCACTTAAAAAGAAGACATAATTAGCCGTCTACTCCCGGCGGAGGCAGCAACACCAAAACGTCAGAGGAGCTCATCAGGAGAGAGACTGACAGTGAGACAATGACAAGGCTCTCAATCTAGACACCTATGGACTGTTTCATAGCCTAGGTAGTGCTTTCTAGTAACAACAGTGTGGTCAAGGGTGGTGCCTGGTTAACATTTGACCACTACACGGTAGAGATCATCAGCCAAAACAGAGTTACACTCTACAGCTACCGGCTAAAAACGCTTAACCATTAACACTCTCAAGTCTTCTGTCCAGTAGTGAAACGTTCCCTCTTTCTCTCTCATACACACATACTGAGCTACCTGCTGTGTGTATCACAGCTCTCGTGTTTATGTTGTTGTAAACAGGACCACGTTGAAAGCAGCATCTTTACACTAGGTCTGTGGTCGTACGAGGTAAGTGTATATCCTCTCTATCCCAGTCCTCACTCAGACCCAGGCTGCTTTAAGATCACATTAGCGGCCTGATTAATGAGATAAAGTAATCTGGTGTGATAAGCCTGATAAAGACCTGACCTCGCTCAGTTCAAACGAGAGATAATTAGCTGATCTCTCTCTCTCTCTCTCTCTCTCTCTTTCTCTCTCTCTCTCTCTCTGTACTCACTATGGCGCTCTTTCTCCCTATTTTGCCTCTGTGTTGCTTGTCCCTATCTCCCATTCTCTCTTTCTTTCTTTCTCCATGTCTCTCACACCCACATTTTTTTTCTATCCTCATCTTTACACCAACCATGCTTTACTGCCAGGGACTGTAACAAGGTGCATTACTGTTTTAGCAATGCACATAAACATAAATAGGACAAAGAGACATAAACAAAAACAGACAGATAAAAGACATGAAGCCATCTAATGACTCGCTCTCTTGCTCTCTCTGCCTCTCATTATTTTTGCATTATTAAATCATTAGGATGTAAACAAAGTCATTCAGAATGGTTTAATGGGAAATGCTCTGGTCTAGAGAAACATACTGACTCAGAATTGTTCACAGTGTTAGTGATGGGAATCAGACGTCTGAAGAGTTGAATGCCTCTAAAGCTACATCACAGAAACCTATTCCACAAAATGGTTACGTATACGCCGTCTGATCCCTGAGACAATGATTTCTGATGTAACTTTTGAAATAAAGTGTAAAACATATTCTTTTTAAATACCTTCATGGTGGAAGGGAACATGCAGAGATATCTAAGACATAATAATTCCCAAAGAAAACTTGTTTTTGGATTTTTTTAGGTTCCTCCTGGTTTTAGAATAGTTAATAAAAAGGCTCTACTTCTGTTGTAGACATTGTGACTCCTGGTTCCTATTAGCACCACTGTAAGGAAATCAGAGTCAATACATTTCTATACAAGTGAACATTTCACACCAAAACACTCAGAATGACTGTCAACATCTCAACCACTGAATTACACTAAACCACGCTTAATATATACTGAACATCCTTTTCCATTGGCTTATCTCTCTCTCTCTCTCTCTCATTCACTGCATGTCTTTATCTCTATCTGCACTAATATAGACACTCAAACGCTCACAAACCCTCGCTATAGCCCCCCTTAACCCCCTATAAACTGTGACATTATCATAGCGCCCCCTCCCCTCCTCCTCCTCCTCACCTTGAAACTTGAAGCCCTCCACGTGCATCCACAGGCACAGGTCCTCGGTGCGGCAATCGCAGCGCCACGGGTTTCCGCTGAGGCCGAGCGCGCGCAGCGCCGGCAGCGCCATGAGCGCGCTCACGTTCAGGGCCGTCAGGTTGTTACGGCTCACATCGAGCACCTGCAGGGCGCCGTTCTCGGCGAAGGCGCGCGCGTCGATCTCGCCCAGGCCCGGGTTGTCGGTCATGCGAAGCATCACGAGGCTGGCGAGGGGCCCGAAGGTGCGCGCGTCGATGCGCGCCAGCGCGTTGAACGACAGGTCCAAGTAGGCGAGCTTGCGCAGGTTGCCGAACGTGGACTCGGACAGCTCCGCGAGCGAGTTGTTGCTGCAGTCCAGGTACACCAGGTCGGCCAGGTAGTTGAGCTGCAGCGCGGGCAGCTCGCTGATGGCGTTGTCCGACAGGATGAGCTGGCGCGTGGCGAGCGGCAGCTCGGCGGGGAACTCGGCCAGCCGCTGGCCCGCGCACTGCACCACCAGCTGCTCGTCGCACACGCAGCGCGCCGGACAGCCCGCGCTCAGCGCCGGCGAGGGCGCCGCGCCCGCCGCCAGCAGCAGCACGAGCGCCAGCGCGCACAGCCGCGCCGCGGACGGCAGCGAGACGGAGAGCGAGAGCGGGAGGGAGAGGGAGCGCGCGCCGGCCCGCGGCCGCATGGCGGGGACGCGGCGGCGCGCACGCGTGGAGCACGAGGCGCCCGCGCCTCCCGCATGGAGGAGCGGCGCGCGGCCGGGCGAGGACGGAGCCGCTCGCGCGCTCACTTTAGTCCGCTAGACGGGCGTCCCGTTCCGCAGGGCAGGTGGGGTAGGGGGGGAAGGGGGGTCGGGTGAGCGCGTGGCGAAACGGGGCTCCGTCACGCTGTCATTTGCGCGGACTTCACGGTCTCATCCTTCCGCGGTTCACCGTCGTCCTGTTCCTGTGTGATCTCGAGTTTTGTGGTTCCGGTCCTCGTGGGCAACGCTCCGCTCTGCGCAGCTCAGTGTGTGTGTGCGCGCGGGTGAGTGAAAGAGAGAGAGAGAGAGAGAGCGGGAGGGGAGGGAGATGCACGCGGGCTGTGAGACTCTCCGTTTGTGTGGGTCTCTGTGCGGCTCAAAGAACGACTACCTGCCGGAGCGCGAGGACACGCTCCTACCCATTGTGACGTAATCAGGTGTTTATGACGCCTCAGGGTAAGAAAGGCGCGCGAACAGAACAGAATGAGACGCGAGGCTCTTTCTCTCTCTCTCTCTCTCTCTCTCGCTCTCTCTCTCTCTCTCTCTCTCACTCTATGACGTTATAAAAAGGAAAGAAAGAAAAACAAAAACCTCTGCTAGCTATAACGAGCACTAGTGATCCAACCGCGCCGAAGCAGAACGTGGATTTAGCGCGAGGCTTATCTGCTCCACATGCACACACGCGCGCGCACACATACACGCCGCCTCGGCTGCTCTGTAATTTCATTCAGTGGCACGTGCGTCTGTCTGTCACTGAGCATGCAGAGCGTGTACGGTCATTATACAGTGGAGAGAGAGAGAGAGAGAGAGACTGACAGAGAGAGAATGGGTGAGAAAGAATGGGAAAGATAGAGTAAGCAGAAAAAGCAGAGAGACAGAAAGAAATGAGAGAAAAAAATTAGAGATAAAGAGAACGAAAGGAGAGAAAGTGAGAATGTGTGAGAGATGGAGACGTGAGAAAGAAAAAAGGATGAAAAAGAGAAAGCAAGCAGAAAAAAATAGAAAGAAAGAAATGAGAGAGAGAAAATTAGAGATGGAGAGAATGTGTGAGAGATAGAAACAGACAGAAAATAAAAGAAAATGGGAGATGATGAAAAAGCAAGAAGAGAGGGAGAGAAAAAGAGGAGAGAGGGAGCAACAGAAAGAGAGAGAATGAGAAAAAAACAGAAAAACAGCAATAGAAAGAAATAAGAGAAAGAGGGAGATAAAGAGAAAGAAAGGAGAGAGAGAGAGGGCGAGCTACAGAGAAAGACCATGCAGGTCCAAAAGTAACATGACCCCTTTGTCCTGTAACACGCTGCCTTAGTTCTATTATAGCTGAGGCTAATCTCTGTCCCCCCATATAGCAGCAGCAGAGTTTGTACCTGCTCTTTGTTTATCAGCCTCACTGCAGGCCCCGCTCTCTCTTCACTGCACTTTCACAAGCCCACACAAAAGCACTTACATTATATCAGTGATTCGCCCGGTTGTATAACTTTCAGAATAGAGCAGTAACACTCGTCTGTGCTTGTCTAGCCCTCCCACGGTGAAGCCCACTCGCTGGCCGTCAATGACCGCTGGCCGTGGCCTGTGAGGATTGTGTGGGAAATCTACGAGCTGGAGAGAGGCAGAGCCACGGTGGGCTACGTGGGCCTCGATGGTGCTCTGCCATAGCGGAAGATGTGCGCAGGTTTGGGAAATAAATCCAGTAATCGGCAATACACATAAAGTGTTTTTGGCTGGAGGCTGGGAATAGAAACTCAATTACCTAGGAAAGATATCACTAAAAGTGTTCTGTATGTCCTTCATCTCTGTCTGCTCTGCTCTGTCTCTCCTCTGCCACTCTTTTGCCAGAGCCGAGTCCTCAAAGGCAGCCTGAAAATTTACATATATCATCATCAACAATTTCCAACCATTTGTTCTCAGCAGCATGAAAAAGGTGGGACAATTCGGGTGCAATAAAAACTATTAACTACTATATGAAGATTTCATGTCATTAAAAAAAAGCTAAAAGTGATTTTCAGGTAAATTAAAATCTCATTTCCTCAGATATTTTTTTTTAAATCAGGCACTTTGTGTGCATTTCCATCCCTATAAGACAGCACATACTGTCTTAGATGCTGTTTTAGGTATCAGTCCTACTGTTCAGGGGTGATTTTGAATGTGTGTTGCACCAACTTTCAAACTGATGTCCCTGGACTCTCTACATTTGAAAGCGCTGGGGAGGATGATTTGGGTATGGAGTTACTGGAGGATGTATACTCTCTATGATACGTTTATCCTTATCTGCATTTTTGTGAACTTTTTGTTACTGGTGTTGATCTAGATCAGGGGTGTCAAACTCAGCCACTAAAAGGGACAATTAAATAATCTCAACAAATCCGTGAGCCATAGAACATCAACTTAACTTAATGGGCCAAAGAACATCAACTTAACTTAATGGGCCAAAGAACATCAACCTAACTTAATCAACTTAATCAAATTCATACATTAACTAACAACATTAATCTACAACAAACATGACTGACTCTCAGTCCAATGCCTGGGAGTTACACAGCTGAGATTGTTTCAGTAGGATCATTTGTTGCTATACACTGAACTGACCATTGTTTATCCAAAATACGCAAAAAACTTCTGAAGTAAAATATACGCAGTTGTAGTAGACCTTGAATACTTGAAATATTCAAAATTTAAATGTTCCCAGGAGCTCAGTCTTTTAAACCTACCTATCTGCTTGAACTAGACATCTAGTATCCTTTGCTTGCTCCATTTACATTAAAACTTGGGCTCAGTTTCTGAGCTGCTGACCTAATGTTAAGTGTTTATGTTGGCTAAACTGAAGTCTGTTTGGTGATATGACTGGTGTGGAATTGCGTAGAAATGTGTAAAATCGAGGTGTAACTGCTGTCCCATAGACGTTGTTGGGACAGTCGGAGCACACATTACATTGCATTACATGCTGGGGACTTTAGTGCAGCGCATTGTGAAACAGGCTAATATTAATAGAAAATTAAAATACTTTTGCAGTCTGGATAGGACTGTATCGTGGGCCTGATCTGGCCCCTGGGCCTTGTGTTTGACACATGGCATCTAGAACCTACTCCACTTTGTTTGGTTTGTTTCGTATCACTACAGAACACCCAGCTTTGTCCAGTGGCCAATCTAATACAACAGCAGATGCCTTTCTTATAACAAGGTGCATGATTCTATTAAACTGGATAAGCAGCTTTTTTGTTTTTGGCACTGGATAGGAGACATGATGCATTTTCTCACTCTAGAGAAAATCAAGTACACAAGGCGAAGGTCAACAGAAGTTTTTTTCCCACTGGAAACTGTTTCTATCCTATATAAATGGTCATTCTCTTATTCCCATTTCATAACACTATATATTAACATGTTAACTTTTTAATCAGCAGCTTTAAGCAATGTAGACATTTTTCTTTTGTTGTTCTTTATTCCCATTTATTACTTCTGTTAATGAGGAGTCTTTGTTTGTATTGTATTTGAATAATATATCTGGTTATTGTCTTTAATCTGCTTGAGAAAAAGCTATAAAAAAGCGATCTGTGCTCAAGTCAAACTTCCTTCTGCATAAAGATGTGCACTGCAGGATTTGGGGTTTTAAAACTGAAAAAATAAAAATTAAAAACAGAAATGAACATATGGACAAAATCCATGCTTCAAGATGAACACTACAGTACACAAATGTGCTATGTAGAGCAATGTTCTCCATTTTTATACATTAAAGTATTACACTGTGCCAGAAGCCATTTATGATTACTTAATAGCTTAATTTTTGAGGCAAATTGCAACTGGTGCTGTATATGTTTGCATACTTGTTAGCAACATAAATCTAATAGCTCCAGTGCAAAAGTGAAGAACAAAAGTCAGGAGGGCTGATGCTGTGGTTAGGAGAAACTGTAAATCTGATTATGCCTTTAAAGGGTGTAGAAGTGTTTGTGCCTGGGGAGGGGGTGGGGCAGAGAAGGAGCAAAGAATGGTGGTTATGAGAGTGTGAACTGCAGCTATGCAACATTAACTAACAACATTAATCAACAACAAACATGACTGACTCTCAGTCCAATGCCTGGGAGTTACACAGCTGAGATTGTTTCAGTAGGATCATTTGTCACACTACACAACCCAAAGAAGTTGATTCACGCTTGCTTTCACTCGTCTAGCCTAGTGCAACGCCCCATTTACTTGATTACCTAAAACTATTGACCGGTTATAGCTTGTACAGTGCAGCTGCTACAGTAATAACTCATAGTAGAAGGGAGAACATTATACCTCTTCTTAGATCATTGAGCTGGTCTCCAGTTTCATGTAGAGCTTAACATTCTGTTTTTTAAGCTATAAATAGTTTGGCATTCTCATACATTATAAAGCATCTAAAAGATTAGATTCCAAACCGGACCTTAAAGACTTCAGAAACTTGCTGGATATTAATGGAGAGCCTGTTGTTTTGAATCTCCAAAGATTTGCAGTTCTCTACCTGCTCAGATACATCAGGCATCATCTGCAGACAGCTTATTTACTTTAGCCTTTTCTACTTTTTATTCTTTTATGAGGAACTTTCCATTTGGCACAAAATACAGTGGCCCCAAAAAGTATTTGGACATTTGTGATATATTAAAAAATGCATTTAGTTCATTGTGCTAGGAAACAACACTTTAAATCAGGTGCTATTCTAAACAGACCATTCCAAGACTGCAATTTCCTTTTTGGCAACATATTCGTTTAGAAGGCGGCTGGGTTGTTTATCATTATCATTTAAGTAATTTCTTTGCAGACTTCTTCGGGTTTGCATCCAAAATGCCTTTTTACACTTCTGAGTTCATGATTCCATCAGTGAACTTAAAGAACTTCATTAAACTTCATTAAACCAATAGTTAAACAGTTGAAGTGACTAAACGCTACTGGAGGTGACTGTGAAACATCTGAAATGGCTCTAATATTTGGTC